CACATTGCAAGTGATTGCATCCTAGTTTTGATAAGATCAGTTAGGGTTTGTCTAGAGAAGAGAATTAACCTGGATTGAGAGAGTAGGACTACTACCACGACTATTTCTGTATAAAGCTGCTTTATAACACTGTTAGTCTAGATTATCAGTGTTATCCATTGAACTACCTTAATTTTAATTCTAAAACTAAGTAAAATGTAAAGGATTCACTTTAATTCTGCAGTAGCAGGATTGTCTTTGCAGCACACTAGAAGATAAAATTCATCCAGGGATATTTAATCCAGAATAACTTGTTTATCTGAGCACTCTTTGCACTCAGGACTTTTCAGCAAGGACACCTTTTCATTTTCACACACTCCACTCAGGCAGCCACAACTCTGTACAAAGCAATTACTGTAACATCTACAGCCATGGGACCAAATCCAAGCTGTTCCACCTGGCACTTTTATTGAAGGAAAAAGACAATCAAATAAAATCAATCTATGTCTCTGCTTCAGATTTTGGAACAGGGACTGACTTTATGGGATCTTTTTCTGGTACATGTACAGTAAGAAACAAATTGTAACTTCAGGATCTTAGTGCTGGCACTTGCAAGAGCATGTCCCTTACCCCCAAGGAACTCTTTGAAAAAGGGAAGAGATAACCCCAGAGATCTCTGGTTTACAAAGAGGAGCATGTCCTCTCCCCTATGACCTGAGCCATGGGTAAATAGTGTCCTAGGGAGTTTGGTACACTCTGTTAAATAAATCCTGCCTCTGGTGCAATGCCCAGGGGATCATGTAGATATACTGTAATCCACAAAAACTTCTTTCATGAGCTACCTGCAAACTTTGTACCTTATTTACTCACAGCAGGTTAGTCCTGGTGAACAGAATTGCTCCAGATGGGAAGGAAAGCAGATGGGTGTTTGTGTGCCAGGGAAATAGTCCTGAGATACTTTGTGCCAAATTGTTTATTCTTTTAATGGGGAGGACTGAAACTTCTTTCACCTTTTACCTTGTTTCAACTTTGCTGGAAGCCTCTAGCTGGTGGGATCCATCCCAAAAGTCTAGCCCATCCATCAGCGACAGAGTTAATAATTTTTACACTGAGAGAGAAAAAAAAAAAAAACAATCCCACTTCCCTTCACCTTCTTTGCATGCAGGTTAAGAAGGCAGGACACCTGAAATTGCTTCTGGCCCAAACCTCCTGCTGCTCTTACAGCCTTGGCAGGGAGACACAGGACCTCACTGTGCCTTTGAAGAAAGCTTTTCCTGACCACATTAAAGACAAATTATTCCACCACAGCAGTGAGGCTGGAAAAGGTGATAGTGCAAACCAGCTCTCAACCCCCCACCGACCTCCTGTCCCTTTCCCCCCATGAATTGAACCTTCGAGGCATTGCAAGGTCTGCCGGTGCTCAGGCTCTTCTCCGCTCCCTTCTTCTCCTGCTCCGGCAGCGTCCAGTTCCCCACCCTCCCTCCTCGCCCAGAACAAAAGCAAGGCACCGGATTCAGCTGCTTCACGAGGAAAGCCCAGATCACACACATTTCGATAAGAGAGAGATAGATATGATTATATTTCTCTTTGCTGTTTAGGACAAGAAATGAAGTGCTGCCTCTTTAATTGGCAAAAGCATGCAGTAAGAGCATACCTTTAATTTAGTGTTGGGATAGCTCACTTGCACCCTGGCTGTTGTCTTATTGGAGAGGGCAGCCTGCCTCAGATCCTCTAGAACTGAAATAATATCATCCAGCACGCATTTCTTATCCTGATTTCTCAACACACACAGATGGGAAAAAGTATAATTATAGCCTTTGTAGTTCACCTTCATTTCCAGCACGGCTCGGTGGATCTGCAGGATCACATCAGCCTGATGCAAAATATTGCCTCCGGGTTTGGAGAGGAGAATCACCCTGCCATACCTCCCCGGGGTGTGCAAGTCCGAATACAGCTGGCTTTTGGATTGATCGAGGGAGAAAAGGCTGCTGGCTAAGCTCCTCTCGATCTTGGCCAGGCTGTGGCTGGGGGCTACCAGGCTCTCCAGGTCAGTGTCAGGCTGGAAGCGGTTGAGCAGGCTGAAGCCGAAGATGATGGTCAGGACTGCGGGCACAGTGAGGAAAAACACCGGATGCCTGCTCACGAATAAGCCCAGCTTGTAGAAAAACGACTGGAGCCCTCTGTGTATCACCTGCCGCAGCATCCTCCACCAGATCCAGCCTGCAGATGCTCCTGGCCGTCTTAGAAAGCACATGTGACATGTGTAGCTCCTTACCCCTTCCTGCCAGTTTCCCTTTCTCTCTCCCTCTCTCTCTACTACTCCTTTAAAAGACTGCAGCAAGTTGCAGCAAGACAGCCAAATATTGATCAATGGGGTGTGTGTGTGCGTGCGGGTGTGTGTGTGTGTGTGCCGGAGATGGAAGGGACCGGGCAGGGGAGGGAGGAAGGGGGGGGTTCCTTGCCTTTTTTTCCCTCTTTCTCTCTTTTTTTTCCCCCCCCCCGCTCTCCTCCCTCCCCCAAGCCAGGCAGCATCGCCGCCCCCCTTCCCCTCCCTCCCCTCCCGCCCGGTGCCCCCCTTTCCCCGGCGAGGCTCGGGCGCTGCGCCGGGAGCGCTGCCGGCTCCGCAGTGCCCGCTCCGCTCCGCTCCGCTCCGCTCCGCTCCGCGCAGCCCCGCGCAGCCCCCTGCTCGGGAGCTGCGGGCAGGGCTGCCGCTTCCCCTCCGCCCCTTCACACACACACACACACACGCGGAATTCGCCGGGGCCGGAGGATGATGCTGCATTTTAACGTCCCCCGACCCCTCCGCGCCCCTCCCTCGCTCCCCCTCCCCATCCCCGCCGGCTGCCGGAGGAGGGAGAGCTCGGCCCGGAGACTTGGCGATCCGCTTCCCACAGCAGCAGCGGCAGCAGCCGCCGCGCTCCACTCTCGTCCCGCGGTCCCGCGGCTGCAGCATCCCCGCGCCGCACTCCTCTCTCCATGCC